CAGTAAAACCAGCTCTTACGAACCGTTTACCCACTTCTAAGAATTCTGTTTCCTCGAAGAAGTGTATTTGAATGATTTTCTTTAGAAATTTCAAATCAAGCACTTCTTGTATTTCAAGGAAAAGGGCTTCGCATTGGTCAGCTTCCGTAATCGCCGAGTCCCGGCACTCCAGACATTGATCATTACGTAAATAATATATGGTGTTCCTTGGCTTTATTCTTCGACAGGTACAACACCTAGGAGTTCCGTCGTCCTCATGAGAGGGACAGGATATTTGTAGCGAGATAGGATGTTGCATAGACACCACAGTACCATCTGAATTTGATGGGAGTAAATTTTCACAAACACCACATTGTAAATGCCGCTCCCTGTAGCAGAGTCTCTGGTAAGGATGATTCTCATGCATCGAAAATTCTGAACCAGTAATTGGAAGATCGCAAAATCCCTATCCTTAATATTCTGCAAGCATTGAATGGCAATTTGTAGGATATATTATTGGGAAATTGACATAGATAGTCACTAAAGATAAACCTTAATAAAAAATAGTCACTTTATAAAACTTAACCACATATACTCACTTTCTAACCTGAAAATACCAAGTTACCCTCCATATAAATACTTAATATTTACCTTTTATCTCCTCTCAAAAATTCATTTCTGATCTAAACCCAACTCTCTAGCTCTTCTCTCCTCTGTCGCACGTAGATATCTGAGACCAGCACCTTAATTCAAGAGGAGACCACGCCCACCTCTCAAAAGCCTACACAAACGTGCGCCCACCTCTCAAAAGCCTACACAAAGGTACTGCTCAAAAGCCTACACAAAGGTTCTCTCTCTGCAGTCAAAGTTAGGGTTTGTTGTGGAAAGAGTTAAGCTTTAAGCTTTTGGCTTTTGAAAAGAGGGAGAAGCTTGTTCAGAAATGGAGGCCAGCAGCAGCAATAGTAGTAGCAAGAGTGGCTTGGTGGTGGCCAATGAGAGAAGGCCAAGTGGGGGAATCCGAATAGAGAATCCGTTTACTTTGAAAGTGGGTCAAGTATTTACAGGCTTTGGCATAGGCTGCGGTGTTGGTATCGGTGTTGGTCGCCCCATAAATCTAGGTACTGCTCTGTCTATTGAACTATCTCTTTTTCTTCCACAACTTTCTCTCCCTAAAGTCTAATTTTATGTGGAAGATGGACTTGGGGAAGCTCTTCAAACCCAAAAATGCTGAAACCCATCAGACACAAGTTGCTAAGAAACCATGTATTACTTTTCATTTTCTCTGTCATTGCCTTTGTTGTTTGTTTTTAGAACTTGGGTCTGTTTGGTTGCTGAGAAAATGTAGGAAATGGGATAAAGCTGCCATTTTGAATTTTTGGTATATCGTTTTAGTAGGAACCTTTTTAATCTAAGAATTTACAGCAACTGCACGGATGGTTGGTTGGTTCGAATTTTGAATTTGATTTGTTGCTAATATGCGTGTAATGTTTGTGAAGTTAGAATTTGGTTGTTCTGAATCTGAAGTTTGTGCATTGTTATCTTAATCCATGTGTATTCATGAGTAGTGTCCATTCTCAAGCTATGCGGGCTTGTTTGAATAAATTATGAGGATTGTCTGTTAGCTGATACCTTTAGATATCAGTTATTTTCAAGCATATGCTTTCAGCACATATGTTTTTAAAGAGTTAAATCTAGAGAAAGGAATAGGGTGGCAAGAGACAATTCTATTTTGCAAAAATATCTTGATCCATGCAATTCAGTATTTGAATGATTGATAAGTGATGAGCGTTTAAGTTGTGCAACTTTGTTTCTTTTCAAGTGGAGATGCTATCGACAACAATACTATCAAATTTCTCTTCTATGGTTGTTATGGTTGTAGCAGATATTAGTTAACCCACATATTGATTTAAATTATGTACACTAGGTACAATACCAGTACTAAATCAAGTCATGGGTGCCACGCGAGGTGCTACTGATGCATTATCTGGCGTTAGCAGACATGTAAATAACTCTGTAAGTCAAATATCTTCTTCTTTTCATTTTTCAGTTTTGTGAGTACCATTGTCATTGTCATGAAAAGAGGAAGATAAAATGATTACTAACACTCAAAGACTTCCTCAAGCTCTTATTCCCATTTATCATTCTTCAGTTGAGGAAGCTGGGAGCAAAGAACATTGAAGCAGGCATTGGATGTGGAGTTGGTATTGGCCATGGTTTTGGAGTTGGTATTTCATGTTATGTGTTTCCGGGGAATTCAATAGTACGTTTTGTTCCATATATTTGCATTTTATATTTACCCATTATGGAGACTAATGTTTACTAGTTCCTGGTGAAATGCGTTGTGACAGCTGGTGCTTGGTTTTTCATGCGTTGTGACAGCTGGTGCTTGGTTTTTCATTTTCTGTATGACATGTCTTGCCTAATTTATAATCAGAATATTTGGTGATGCAAACAGATTTATCACTATAGATTGATGAGTTGTAGAAGGGATTGATGAGTCTCGTGGAAAAAACGTTATTCTCTTAATGGATTCACACCTGGAGGGAAAATTTTCCACTGAACAAGTGACTGGTTTTTGATCTTGCCTCACGATGTTTGCAATATGAACCCAGGGAGCGGCCAAATACCAAAGACCTTGTTGCAACAGTTGCCCCACTGCAAAATAAATCTGATGTAAGTCTTCCATGCCTTTTCTCCTTATGGATGCAATTACATGTTGTTTTCGTTCTGTTCGTTTCTTAAACATTGCCTTTTTGTAAATATTATCACCACCAACATTCTGAACCAAAAGTAGTGCAACTATGCTCCCTAAATAAATGCAGTTTATTTTCTTTATACTTTTAACGACCTTGTATGTTTCCTGTTCTTATCATTCTCTGTCATGCATAATCTCACTCCTTCCCAGTCTGATTTTGTTCCCTCAAAGTAATTTTAACTACCTCTACATTTTCTGAAACATGCTTAGTTAGCAATTTTTTATGATGACGATGCTTTGTAGGTTCCATCTTATGCGATGCTGGGAATTCCAAAGCACGAGGAAGCACCTCCGACTCCGCAACATCCTCTTTCGGCCATGGGCGATGCCTGTTCAAGGATGGACCTCACAGCCATCCATCAAATTTTGTTAATGACACACTACAAAGATGATGAAGGAACCAATGAGGTAATTGGATTGTGCACACGTAGGTTCAGATGGTTCTCTGATGCCTTTCTGAAACTGTTTGTCTTTGTGTTAGTTGTCTTTCCAAGAATGGAATCAGCAAATGAAGGATATGTTGGAGGCGCGAACGCGTGGGGACTTAGCATTTCGTGACAAAGATTTTAGATCAGCAATGGACTGTCACTCTCAGGTATGCATTCTGCAATAGGAGGTAGAGTATGCATTCATGTCCCCCATTTAACAAGTTTACACTTGATTAGTATTTTGATGCCACAAGGGTCAGGCACTTCATTTTTTCTCTCGTAGATAATGAGTTTCAAATTTGTTAGTATTTTGTAGTACAAAGGACAGGCTGCTTGTGAATTGTATAAGAAAGTAAAAGGTTTTATGCGATGTTGGTAAAAATCGGTATTCATATCAGACTGTACCTGATAAAAAAGCTGTTTTCGTAAGTAGAAAATAGGATGGTCATCTTAATTTCTTTTAAGGTTCTAAGATAGAGTTAGGCCTAATCTATGAAGGACAATTATGTTGGTGATTTATCTGAGTTCTCTGGCGTTCATAATATACTCAAGTGTCACTGGTTATGCCTACGTATCTCTAACTCTGTTTTTTCCCTCAGGCTTGATTAGCTCTTGGAGAGTTGCGAAAGGAAAATAATTTCCTAAGAATCCTTTGGCCAGTAACTAATCCACCTTCAAGTCAAGAACATCTTTCACATCCTCAACTTTTACAGAAGCCTCTCCGCCCATTCCTTGCTCAAAGGTATTTTGATGATGTAGGAGTGTAAAACGTGATTCCATTAAGGACTTCGTGTCCTTTTTGTAATATGTTGTAGATTATGAATATTTAGTGGGAATGTGGAATGAAATTATAGTGGGAATGTGGAGTTTTTGTATTGCTCCCCTATTGCATTTGTATTGTCATCGTATTGCCATTTTAGTGTTGTGGTATTGCCTGGTTATTGCACTTATATTTGTTTCTTATCACCTGTTTTTTCAAGTTTATCTTGTGAAGGAACTTGTAAGGATATTTTGTAAAAGAAAACACTTGATAGTGTAAGTTTATTTTGTAAAGGAAAATGCCATATCATTATTCATTATCATACAAATAAGGTACAACAAGCACCGTATATGTATCTCTTCAATATGATTGATTTGTGTTCAGCTATTGGTGTAAGAATGTGATTCCATTATTGCTTTTTTATTGAGTATTTATTATTGTAAGAATGTGATTCCATTAAGGGCGTCATTGTACTTTATCAGTTTCAAACCATGTATTGCCCAATGTATTATTGCCCATGTATATAGGCCAATGTATTGCCCATGTATATTGCCCATGTATTGCCAAGATATTGCCAATATATTGCCCGTGTATTGCCAATATATTGCCAAGATATTGGCCCGTGTATTACCCATATATTGCCATGTATTGCCAATGTATTGCCCACGTATTACTTCTCTAACACCATTTTTTTTCAAGTCTATATTCAAAATAAAATTAAAGTCTTGGGAAGTTGGGAATAAGGAGTTGAATTGCCATTGTACTGCTGTCGAGCCTGCAATACAACCACAATATAGGGGTAATACGTAGGCAATAAGAGGGTAATACGTGGGCAATAAGAGGGCACAAAAACTAAATACTCCCACCTATATAATTTCTTTCGAAAAGACTTGAAAAACAAAGTGATACGAGGGCAATACATCAGCAATATAGACGCAATATATTGATTGGCTTCCTTTTCTCTCTTGTTTTCAATATCTGCAAATTCTCTTAAAATGGCACTAAACAAGCAATACGAGGGCTATATAGAAGAAATAATATACATGCAATACCAGGGCAATATACAAGCAATACAGAATGTATATAACGTGATCTCTTTAAAAAAGAACAAGACGCTCTGGAATCGCATTCTTACACCCCTACACCAAAACATAAAGATTTTATAGTAATTTTTCCTCAACAATGGGGAACTAAATAATTGTGCTCAATTTCATTCAACGAGGACTAAATAATTACATGGTCTGTCTGATACAAAATATAAGGCCAGAATTAGCTCCTTGAACACAACACCCAATCAACTCAACAAGGTTTGGATGCCTGACATTTGATATAGCAATAATCTCATTTAAGAATTCAGAGACTCCCCTGCTTCGACCGAGCAGAAAGTGTCTTCACAGCAACTGGCTTTCCACTTTTCAGGGTGCCCTGGGAAAATGTAGCTAAACTACTAAGATAATATGAAATGGCATGGAGGAATACCATCTAGATATTCTGATTAACGTAAAATCATAATCAAAGTTTGGCTTGTACAATATAAGACCAACCACTACAGCTGGGAAACTAAGAAAAAGAAAGAACTATGTCTTAAAAAGTGACAGCTACAACCCATGCTTGTCCACAATAAAGAACAACTTCTATCTTCTGGGACTGGGGCTCTATAATCTAAAGAAAAAACAGCTCCTTGGACACTTGACATGTGATGGTCCCGGAGAGATGCACACACTCTCAATTCAAAAATCTATAGCTCGAACCAGAAGAAAATTGTAATACATTGACATGTGTGTTTGAAAAAAATAAAATAAAATTGAAGGCCACATACAAGAGAAAGGTACTTTGACTTCATAAAGAAAGCAGACTTACTCCATTCAAATTAAGGAAATCTAATGTAATTCTTTCATTCATATATAAACCAAACCCGTCACAGAATGAGAAGAGTAAAATGTTAGGAACATGAGAAATTATTGTAAAATGCTGATGGTGCAGCACCAATAGCACATACACTAACCATTTTGACTTATACAAGCTTTCTTAAATAAGAATTTGACAAGCACCACAAACAGGGATTTGTCACATGAATTTTAGATGAAACGTAGCAGAATGTAAGTCAGATCCTGGATCTCAAGGGAATTAAATGTACAAGTTGGATTAAACATCAACATGCACAATCATTAGCCAATTTTTTTTTTTTTTTTCTGTTATTTCTAAGTTTTTCTATCTTTTCTTTCCACTTGACAATTGTGGTGAATGCAATGGCATTCTCTAAGCTTTCCATGTACGTAAAAGAAACAAAGGCAACTGAGCAATTATAAGGATTAAAGCAGCATTTACGACAAGCATTTAATTGTAACCTTTGCAAGGCCCCCGAGTAGAATCAGAGACTTTTGTCTCTTTAGACCCATTAGTCCTGCGTATGTTGCTTCAACATTTGTTGCCTTACTGTCATCAACCCAAGTTACTCCATGGATATCCTTGCATACTGCATAACAACACTGAACTAGTGAACAAGGAATGCAAAACTCGGCTTGGATCAAGGACGGGCTCTTGGTCACAAAAGGGAATCTACTCTTTTTTCTTCCAAGTCTGATCCCCAGGCCAAAAAAAAAAAAGGTATGCTCGAAATAATTGATTTTATAATTTCCAATCAAAAGAGAATGACAAAAGAACAAGGCACTAAGCTGAAAATGCTTACAGAAAACAAAAAGTTCACTACTTATAGAGATGCATCTGTTTCAGCTTACCAATTTGCATACGATGAGGTGGTGCCCTTAATTTTTCAATACTTGGACGAATGTCTTCAATATCAAGTCCAACATTCAGTCCAACAACAGACAGAGCAGCCACTGCAGCATTGTGATAGTTGTGTATCCCAATTGTGTTCATTGCACCCAATTGCAGTTGTGAATTGACTCCCAATGCAGGCACTTCAAAGCTTGCAATTTTTGCCTCCATATCAATCTTTCCATATATATTACCACAATTAACATCAGAGATGATACTAAATAGACTTTTCCTAGAAAATTTCATAGTTTTTTATAAATAAAATGGCAATACTAAGTAATTCTTACTTTTACACCTGGAGTGGCTCCTATCCAAGCAAGATTAAGTTCAGCCAGCAACACCATCAAGGATTAAATTTGCAATAAGAAGGCTCAAAATAGAAATACAAAATACAAAAAGACAAAACCTAGAACAGAAAATTATTGACCCAGATCAGATACAAACCTTGGCCTGCCCGAGATGCTAGTTGGTACATCTGGAGTAAAATTTTTAAGAACACCTTCAAACATGGCAGGGCTAAAAGGCTTACCAGTCTCAAGAACACTTGCATCTTTGTTCTTTGAACTTGAACCACTAGGCATGTCAAATTCAGAGACGAACTCTGCAAATGCACCCAATGTTGGATAGCCAACCTAATAAAATCAAATTCAAATGGACAACATATTAGTTAAGTGATTAGCCAGAAAAAGAACAAGCATTAGGCAAGGTAGCTTCCTATTTTCTGAGATCAGCAATCTATATAAATTTTGTTATTTGCAAATAGCAATTCTAGATGACAAATGGAACTGAAAACACGCATCACAAACGAACCAATCCTAGATGACAAATAGCAAATTGAGGCCCTTCGTCGTCCATAGAGCAAAATCAATCAGACCAATAGAAGTTTCATCCAAGCATGAAGTAATTCACAGTTAAAATACAGAAATTTCCAATCTCCCTAATTACAAAACTTCAGTGAAATCATCATTCTCAAATGAAAACCATACAAAAAGACAAACTAGTCAATAAGAAATACAAAACCCACCTTAGAATCACTCCTTTTGCGCATAGAACCGAATTGGAAATCCCAAAAACACCTAAAGAAAAGCACGAATTTTGTCTGTGAGAGATTGAGAATAAGGAGGAAGTATGTGAAATAAGTCGGAACCGAAACCAAGAATTAGGGTTTTTTGAGGCCCTGAAGGAGCGGAGGAGAAGAGAAAGACGTCGATTGAAGACATGAAAAGAGAGGGAACTGACAGATTGTTCAAGGGAGAGAGCATTTAACAAAGAAACCCTCTCTTTCACCTTCAAGAACCCCCTCAACAAACCCTAACATCGATTGCAGAGAGAGAAAGAGAGAGGGCTTCTTAGGTTTTCGTGACACAGAGAGAAAGAGAGTGGTGGTGGTCGATGGAGAGAGAAAGCGGGGAAGAGAGAATTGTGAAAGAGAGCAGAGAGGGAGCTGCGCGCGAGAGAGAGAGAGAGAGAAGAGGAGTTGGGAGAAGTTGGCTTTCAGAAAAGAGGTGGAAAATGGTCAATAGATATGTTTTTATATGGAGGGCACTTGGGTAATTTCACGTCCCCAAGTGATTATATCTGAATAGAATTTGTAACGTAATCATTTTTTAATACAATTTGTAAAAAGTGATTATATCTGTATATTTCCCATTATTGGTCGAAAACTGCAGTGCAGTCTGTTTAAACAATTTTGAATTTTGAAAATAATTCTTACCTAAGTCCATGTAGACATGTACTGTGGACTATCTGTCTGCATGGGCCCTATTTTCTCCTCCTTTATTTGTATATAGGCCTCAATAACCTGTTTCACATTGATTGGAGAAAAATGGAATTGTTAATGGGTAATATAGGTGACACAAATAAAAACTGCAATGCAGTGTGTGTTATAGAATTAGTAGTTTACACTTACGTTTTGTGACAGTTCCAGGTCCCATACAATATCTTTAATATCATGATTTGTCACTTTCTCATCATGGAGTCTTGCCCAAAAGTTATCACTGCTGATTTGAATGCATGAAATTCACAAGATTAGTTTCAGTTTAATTGTAAATAAAAGATGAAAGAATTGTTCTTTTGGGATAAAGATATTACCGAGTTTGAGTACTTAAGCAGTATTCTTCAATTTTGTACCTGTCTTCTTTTGGAATTTTCTGCCAAACCTTCCTTTAACCCCATTTTTTCTTTTTTGGCTTTTTTTTGTGTCTTTTTTGGCCTTTCATTTTCATCATCTGATTTTTGCATACCTACAGGTATCGAATCATGAAGATTTGTTCCTTTCGGGGGATCATGAAATGGATTTGTGGCATCGGGCTGAGATGCCTCTTGTGTTGACTGCAGATTGAAAGGAAACTAATCAGAAACTGCATTGGATGAAACGGAAACTGCAATGCAAAAAATATTAAAAAAAAGGAAGCTTGAACTGCAGTAATTGCATACCTCCATCTGATTTTGAGGATCCTCTTGTGTTGATGGCTCCTCTGAAGAGATAAGCTTGAATTATGGTATTTCTTCATCATCCTTTTTTGCCTCCTTTTTTGGTAGCTTATCTTTTTTGTACTCATAGCAAGATGCTTGAAGCCTCTTTCTTTCTCTGTTCTGCAGCCTTTGTATTCTTGAAGGAACATCAGGTGTTTGAGTTTCCCCCCTCCATTCTCCTTCCTAAATTTGACCAAAAAATAAAATAAAAATTTAGCGTGCCTACATAAATAGCGGCGCCCTCCCGTAGAGAAGACAACTTATATTCTTTGTTTTGTTTCTGGTTAGTGAGCATAGAAATTATGAAACTTATGCGAAGAAAGATTATAGCAGAAAAAGAATTACAGAGAAAAAACCAGAACCTCATGCTTATATTTGTATCTTTAATCTCCAATAAACAATTTAAAGGTTTTCATGAATTAAAAAAAAACAATTTATAAGAAAACAATGAATTGCAACAGACAAAATGGAGCAGGACAAAGAGGAAATTATCATTTACCTTTATAATAAACAATCTATTATATTACCTTTATGGAGCACGTGGGGCCTTGCTTTGGGAGGTTGTGAGGCCAATAGGAGCACATATCAACAACATTTATTATATTAAAAAGAATTTATCTTTGTTATAAAAATGCATCACACGGGTCCTAAAGTTACATCACATGGATTCCAATCAATCTAACGACTGAGATTATACAGGGGTGGGCTTATGTCTACATAGAGGTGTAGGCTAATATATGATTTACCTAGTTTGGGCTTGGACAACTTAGCCTAAGTTGTATATTCTAAAAACTCAGCACTGGGCTGGAGTGTGCTCCTACTATGACGATCGGTTATATCAAAAAATAAAAAAACCATACACATTACTTTGTGTATTACCTATTGGCATCTGAGGTTTTTATTTTTGAAGAGGTTGGCTTCTTAAGTTTTTATAAATAAAAAATTGTTAACAAAATCAGTTAATAAAAAGAAAATGTTTTCGAAAAATTGAAGAACCCCAATCTTAGAAGTTTGAAACGGACTAAGTCATAATTTCATTTTAACAAGCAGCGTTGGGAACCTGTGGCATTAATGTAATTTTTGTAATCCTTAATGTGAAGAAATTTTGGGCCTTATGTTTGCTTGAAAAAATGGGGACCAATTTAAAATAAACAGCTAGAGTCGTCCTACATATTAAATAGAATTTTAATTTGAATGCCCCTGCTAAGTTTTAATGTACCTAAGTATGAATATTTTTTTTTTTTTGACGGGGTATCTAAGTATGATTTTTAATACACTAAAATAGATTTTTTTTGAGGGGGTGTTAGGCCCCGTTTGGGATGGATTGGCCCGGACATTTAGTGTGCTCCCAAGTAGGCCCAGACATTTAGTGTGCTCCCAAGTGGTCCGAAATACCTATGTGTATGAGTTTCCTCCCTCCATTCCCCTTCTTAACTTTGACTAAAAAATAAAATAAAATAAAAATTTAGCGTGCCTACGTAAATAGAATTTTGAATGCACTGAAATTTTAATACATTTGGACCTAAAATCAGGCACGAACCTTAGTGTATTCTTACCTGGGCTGTAGCCCGGGGGGCTTTTAACTTTTTAGTGTATTCTTACCTTGGTTGTCTTGTTCTGGTTGTTTTGCTGCTTCGCTGGCATGTTTTGGTTGTTTGCTTTTTTGTTGTTGTCTTCATATTCTTTTCTTCCCCCAATTTATTGTAATTGAAATTTGGGGATTTCATTGGGGATTATATGAATGATGAATTATTAATTAGGGATTAGGTGAATTACTTAATTGCTAACATGTTGTCTTCTACTAGGTGTAATGTTTTGGTTATCAATAAAATTCACTTGTACCGTCGAGTTTTCTTTGTTCTTATTAGGTTTTGTGCGTAAGGGAAATTTAGCCCGCCTCAATTCAGAATCCTGGGTCCGTCCCTGTGTGGACTTAATATTCATCTCATTGAGATTTGTTTGTTGGTTGAGAAATTTTTCATCGTTTGTAGAGCATTGGTCTGAGAGATCTTCCATATTTGTTAGAGAAGAGAGAAATCAAACCTGGGACCTTTGGGGTAAATACTCGTATTCAAACCTGTTTTCTTAATAAAATAAAATAAAAAAGAAAGGGAAATAACTGGACATTTCGTACCTATGATAGAACCGAAAAGTTCTTGACGGAGGATTTTGCACTGCCGCTGATATTTGGGGGCTTATTTGCTACGTTTGAGTCTATTTCACCATTACTGGATTTAGCCTTCAGTTTACTAGCAAAGCATTCTTCAGTTTTGCAGGAGTTGACTGTACGTAGACAAATTTCGAGCATGTATTTAGTGACTAGAAACTCCTAATTAACGACTATAATGGTATTTCTTGAGCAATAAAATTGTCCGAATTTTCTTTTCAAAAAAAAATAAAAAGAGTATTTCATATTGAGCTAGAATGCAAGAAGGCTACACCTCCCATAACCTAACTAAACATGAGGTTCGACCAAACTTATAATAGACTTCCAAAATAAATCAGTGTTGATGAGTTGAGTCTGTGGAGTGATTTACATTTATACGCCGTGGTCCCGTGGATTGATGAGCAAGATTAAAAATTTTGATGCACGTTTAGAATACTTATCTAGATGGAATTCTAGAAAACTAACTTAAAATACCCTACTGCAACTAGATAGATTTTAACGTTAAGACACAAGCTTTTTAGGGTTAGGTAAGTAGATTTGGCACGCACAGAGACTTTAATACATTTAACACCAACAGCACCATCTCCAGTGATGGCCTCTTTTGCAGTGAGATATATGATATATCTATAAAGAGAAGGGAGGTGAACCAACAAGACTACAATTCTTTCTCTGATCTGAAAATGTGGGCTGTTGTTGGATTGAGTTTGGTAGTTTTGCTGGTGACATACATTACTCACTGGATTACACAATGGAGAAATCCAAAATGCAATGGGGTTCTCCCTCCGGGTTCTATGGGCTGGCCTCTCGTTGGAGAGACTCTCAATGCGATGACTAAGAGCTATTCCCTTGATCTTCATCCTTTCTATAAGAAGAGACTTCAAAAGTAAGTAAATAAACTATGGCTACTCAATTTACCATAAGAAATTCTAGTTTCATTTCTCGCTTAAATTCTTCTCTGCCTTGCAGATATGGCCTGATATTTCGGACTAGTTTGGCTGGTAAACCAATTGTAGTCTCAGCCGATCCCAAATTCAATAGTTACCTCTTTCAACAAGAAGGCAAGCTAGTTGAACTACGGTACTTGGACTCATTTACCAAGATCTTCAAGGTTGCTGACGACATAAGTGCAGCCGAGATCGTTCACAAGTACATAAGGAGCATTGCATTGAATCACTTGGGCGCTGAGACGCTTAAGGAAAAGTTGCTCCCTCTAATAGAAAAAACGGTCGACAAAACTCTAGCCTCCTGGTTAAGTCAGGCATCTGTTGAAGTTAAAGAAGCTAGCTCAGTTGTAAAAATTTCAACCCAACTACTTAATCACTTATCTATTAGTTATTATGATCCACTGCGCTTATTGTTTATACTAAAATTATCTTTTCTCGCCGTCACAGATGCTCCTCAATTTTGGTGCCAAGTATTTGACTGGTTATGAGCACTTTTTTGTCATTTCCCTTGAATGTTCCTGGTACAGCATACCATAATTGTTTAAAGGTAGTATTCAAAATGGTTTGTTTATCAAAACATGCAAAATTTGTTTCAATTATTCAATCAGATATCATAAAGATATTTGAAGCTTTGGTACCTATTCAGGACCGCGAGAAGATAACAACAATGCTGAGGGATATGCTAAAGAAGAGACGCATGTCACCGGACACACATCGAGGAGATTTCCTTGAGCAAATCAGCAGCGACATGGACAAAGAGAAGTTCTTGTCCGAGGATTTTGTTGTTTATAATATATATGTCGTATTTGGGCTCTTGTTTGCTGGATTTCATCCTGTTTCATCAATAATGGCATTAGCTTTCAGTTTACTTGCAGAGCATCCTGCAGCTTTAGAAGAGTTGACTGTTAAGTACACAAAGTTTAGGCTTCAATTTAACAAGTTCTTTAATTTTCTACATAAGTCACAAATAATGAAATATCTTTTGTCGTCAAGGCTGAGAATGAGGCACTTCTCAAAAACAGAGAAAATCCAAATTCCTCACTCACATGGGACGAATATAAATCGATGACTTTCACTCGTCAGGTAATTAGTTCTACAAAGTACACAAGCTCAACATGTTGTTTCTACTCACACAATACTATGGAAAAAGTCTTATTAACTTGCTGGTCTTCGGAAAACATAGGTTGTCAATGAAACTCTTAGACTGGGAAATGTTGCACCTGCATTGTTCCGCAGAGCTTTGAAAGATATCCCAGTAAAGGGTACGTCCTTGGTTACAAATAGCTTAGGCCTTTAGTTTCTAACTGCAAATGTTTTTTTCACTAAAATGTTGAAGTACATGCTTCGCAGGATTTACAATTCCAGCAGGTTGGACGATTATGGTTCTCACCTCTGATCTTCAACTAAGTCCCAACACATTCAAGGATCCCCTCGAGTTCAATCCGTGGCGTTGGGAGGTGTGTTTTCGTGGGGAGGAAGAGAGGGGTTTGGTGTTGTAATTTGAGAGTAATATTGCGATTTTTCCAAAATAAGCTAATTTTGTTTATACACACATATGTGTAAATATTTTATGGAAATTAGGACCTTGACTCCCTTGTTATATCGAAGAACTTCATGCCGTTTGGTCGAGGATCGAGACAATGCGCAGGGGCAGAGTATAGTAGGGTGTTCTTGGCCACCTTTCTCCATGTCATGGTCACCAAATATAGGTACGTACATTTCACCATTCCCCTCTTATTTTTTTATCTCATTTTCTCACGACTAGTTACAAATATACTGTGTGCCTACAAGGTTTTTGATAGAGCTTAATCATCTTTTGGATTTTAACTTTTTTGTTCATAGCTGGAAAAGGATCAATGCGGGACGCATTACTCGAAAGCATGTGTTAGGATTTGGGTCAAGCATTCACATTGAGCTCTCGGAGAAGAAAAACTGAGATACTTTTCAAATTCTGTTTGTGGGAAATGATCGAGCACCTGTCTAGATGTACCTATAATTAAAAATAACGTGCAATTAAGTTATGAATTAGCCCAAAAACAGGAAAATTTATATAATTAAGTTGGAATAATTGAGGGTTGTGCACTAAAAAGGCCTCCCAGTTATCAAATATTAACTACATGAGTTGTTCTATCTGGGTGTTTAG